GTGTTAGAATCCGCTTCGGGCTTTTAGCCTATTTTGGCAAGTTCTAGGTTCAGCGAGAAGTATACAAACACATTTTCTGTCTAAGATGGAAGAGAATTAGCACATAGTTGGAAACTTGAGTTTTCTTTATGTGAATGTATATTTATGCAAAATATAGTCGTTTCAAGGCTTTCTGCGGGGAATGCTCTATCATCTAAATCTATAATACAATAAAAGAAATGCATTTTACTGCAAAATTGAATATACAAATAAATCTGGGTGGGTGCATAAGAAAAGCCTTATCCGTTCATAGGAGAAATGTTAAATCTGACGTTGAAATGTTTACGTAACTACACTTTTTCTTTTCTAATATAATAAGTATTCAATATTTCATTTAAGTATCAGTAAGAAAATGTAAGCCGAAAAAATTTTTACTTGTATTTCTCTTTTCAAGAAGTGCCTAGAATACACATTTTTCCTATTATTCTTTGCTGGAAGATGTTAGCTAAATTACTTACCTGAATCTGTTGAAAAATTTGTTTCATTAGACACAAATATCAGCTAGAAATTACATAAAACAGCTTTTATAAGGAATTGAGTGAAGGTTTCCAATTAGATTATTTTTAACAAAAAACATTAAAAATAAAATTTCTTCCTCTCTGCTGTGAAGATACCCGAACAATACCTTGCACTATCTGGATTATATCTGAAGCACAGAGTTTGTTTCTTTTATAATTTTGCACAAAATTACACATGGCTTATCAGCACATAGCCCTCTCTAATTCTGACTAGAGACAAGGCAGCACCCACTTTCGGCTCTTGGGCTGCTCTTACCTTCCAGACTAATGAGATTTAATTGTCACTGTTTAATGCTCCCAAAGCCCAAAAGTACAGAGCGAATTTTTGTGGCAACAGGACACGAACCATGGACCCTCGGATTCTCAATGTGGGCGTGTTGACTGCTAGGTCACATCGGGCCGATTGGAACACATAACTTGAGAACATACGCTAAAGACGCACACTCAACAATTCTCTTAAGCATTTGAAACTTGAACAAAACAACGAACAGATTACTGTAGATGAATAAATATATCAACTTTAACTGTTTATAACGTACTTTTTTTGAATTTCTAATAATAGAAAAATCACATATTGTGACATTTCAATTAGTGCAGTGAAGAGTAAAATCAATACAGTAAGTTTTGTTGAATGAATCACGTATCAAAACCTTTTAAACAAATTCCACAGGTTCAGCCACTCTAAGCTAGGGTTTGGTTACACGTTTAGTCACTTTAAAATAGTGTTTCAGGTTTGGCCACTTTAAAACAGGTGTACACAGAAGATAGCCCAATGTAGCTTTGCTCTAACGCAACTAAACCAGACACTTTAAAATAATGTCACATGTATGGTCGCTCAACTTTTGTTACAAGTTTGGTCAATCTAAACTATTGTTATAGGTGTGGCCACTATAAGGTATTGTTACATATTTGGTCACTTTAATTAAAATAATGTTGCATGTTTAGTCGCTCTAAACTATTGTTATAGGTTTGGTCACTCTAAATTAAGATAATTTTAGTTTGGTCGCTGTAAGGTAGTGTTACAGCTTTGATCACCTTAAGACTCGTTTGTGTTATTTAGCGATACAGAACAACTTCGTCAAACTTATTACAAGTTATAAACTACAAATAATGTTTTTGTTTAAGCCTAGCTATGTGGATTTTTTTAAAGTTAATTGGGTGTTTTATTATTATAAAATATGAAAACGAAAACATAACATCAACTGTCAATATTATTTAATCAATAAAACGCAGTTATTTCGATCCCTCTCGAAGAAAGTGACTACCGTCCCAAACCACTTGAATATCTTGGATCATTTTAAAGGACTGGTGTAGGAGAGCAAGTTTCATTATTTTAAATTTCCACTAGATGACAGCACCATCTACATGCATTTCAAAGACACTCGGAGTGTAACATCCACCTGTTTTCTTTTTTGTTGTTTTTGCTGTAACCAATCTACAATATACTACAACTAATTACCCATTCTCAAAAATGTTGGTCTAGGTCACAAGATTTTTTTTTTTCATATATTACCAAATTTAGACCGTTTTTCAAAATACCAGTTTGCTAAATCTGGATTAACCTGGTGGTTAGACCGTCAGACTTGTAATGTGCAGGTCTTGTAGTCGAAAATTCTCAATAAATATGCTCGCCCTTTCAGCCGCGAAGACGTTATATTGTTACGATCAATCTCACTATTCGTTGGTAAAGAGTAGCCAAGAATTGACGGTGGGTGGTGTCGTATCTGAGTTTTTCTACCATAATTAGGGAAGGCAGCTAGTCAACAGCAGTCACTGCCGACTCTTGGGTGATTATCGTCTGGCCGAATAGTGAAATCTGACGGTCACCCTTATAATGCACCCACGACCCCAAAACTCGAAGTACGGTTTTTATATTATTTGGATGTCAAACCACCAGGCCTATAAGTATATATCACGCTAATCACTGGATCACAGAGAGTATTTATAGTTTGTTTTTTTTAAAATGTGAAGTTTATTTTTTAATTTGTCGTTAGCTTATTCGCAGATAATAAATACTGATCAGAAAAATAGAAATTAACTTTATGAATTACTAGAAGATCCAGGATTTCTTTATGAAAGAATGAAGATTTGTGTACAAACCTCTCGGCTAGAAGAAAATGGAAAAATTGTCCAAGAATAAAAACTTTGAGAACATACGTTTCTTCACTTTTGTGTATAGAATTAGAAACCAACTAAAGAAACAGATCGATTTAACTTTCTTTTTTAAATCCAGCTCATGTACGTACGGAATCAGTAATATATCTGGACATCTGTTTAGAACGCGTGAAGATATTTGGTTTCAGTGGTTCTCAAATTCCCTTTGGATTATGAACGTTAGGCGCACCAAAGTATAAAATGAATAATATACCTGTTAGATCATACACGGTCCACTAGATATTCACTGATTCGACTTCCATTGACGTTCTAAGATACTTACAGTTACTACAATTACGTGCACTGGAGGGGCACTGGTTCCATGAGCTCAAGCCCCTGCCCTTACGCCCCAAAAGTGCCCCCTGTTTTATCTGTCATGAAAAATTGTCAACAAACTACGAAAAGATACACCTGATAACAGACCTTACTTGCTGAGAGTTATTAGGGGGGATTAGCTTTAAAATAGTTTTACAGTAAAACAGTGGGATTTTACAGTAATAAAAGTTGCTATATGCCATTAAGTGCTAATACGTCAGAATTCACTACTTAGTTTTAGATCATACAAGTGGTTATAAGACCAATTGAATAGGAAGAAAATATGTTTGTTTCATTTAAAAAAAAAAACGTTTACCTTACGATGCTTGAAAAGTGCACTTTTTTTTGTCAGTGAGCCTCTGCCCTTCCAATGTCCTCTGAACATTACTGATTTACTGCGTATTTAGCTAACCCTAAAGCCCTAACCTGCTTTTACTGGTTTACTGCATATTTGTTTTTCTGAATTTCGCGCAAAGTTATACGAGGGCTATCTCCGCTAGCCGTCCATAATTTAGCAGTGTAAGACTAGAGGGAAGGCACCTAGCCATCACCATCCACTGCCAACTCTTGTGCTACTTTTTTACCAACGAATAGTGGGATTCGCACCCGCGACCCGCGGATTGTGAGTCGAGCTCCTTAACCATCTGGCCTTGCCGGGCTTTACTGCATATTTAGCTAACCCTAAAGCCCTAACCTACTTCGTAAGTGATGGACCAATAAACCTGAAGGATGTTTTTAATAACGCTAAGGCAAAGAAATAGGGGGACAGCGAGATAAAAGTAATTTTTCGACCTTTCTTTCTTTTTAAATTTCTTTTCTCGCTAGAATATTTCTTTTTTCATTTGTTTCGCCTTTGACATAACGTAATTGCATGATATAAAAACAAACATGTTCTCAAAATGAACGTCACAGTTTTAACGCATTCTAAAATATGTTTTATTAAACCATGTGGAGTTTAATTAAAACGAGAAAAGTTTTTCAAATCTTTAAGTAACCTTTTGTCGCTTCATAATTAATTTAAAATTTTTGACAGTTGAAACAAACTAACAATCTGAAGAATTTGAAAATGTAATCTGATGTTGTATAGAATAATATATTAAGTTCCATTTTCAGCAGATATTATACGTACAAAAGCTGTAGTTTTTAACATATCTTCAGTTCAGTCCAAATCGTGAAATTAATTTGTACAACTTATCAATAATTTGAAATAGTCAGAATTTTCTTGTTTATTTTACAAGAACTGTAAATATTTTCGTAGCTACAAGAACACACTGAATATAAGATGAAATAATGAAATTTTTCACTTCTTATGCCGAGAGAGTTTTTGTTGTTCTTGTTTAATTAACTGTCCTTAAGTGAGGTGTATGAAGAAAAAAATAACACCATTTACAACTAATTATTGAACAAAAAATCTATTAAAATAGAATATATTTTCTTATGAAAACGTTTGTTCAATATATCGATACAGTTTTCTCACACAAATGTTCTACTCGGGCACGAGAAATGAGCAAATTTGGGAGAAATGCGAGTATTCCAAGATAAGAGGTTATGAGAAAGTAATCAAATCAAAGAAATTGAGCTTTTGTTGCTGATAAATGAAGTTTTCTAAAAATATACACACTTGCTTCAATTAATTTTAATAGGATATTTTGGTTTATACCAAAGCATAATTATAATCATCCTTAAAATTTAATCAATATGTTTATTTTACTAAATTGTGATTTTTTCCGAAGCTAAAAAAAAAAAGACATCAAAATTGCTTAACTAAATTATAATATATCTCGCCAATTAAAATATTGTCGCTTATCTATATCCTAACAAAAAATAAAGAATAGCAAACGATATAAAAAAAAAATATTTTAAGCCTAATTACTTGAGAAGTTACATCTCTTGTCTAAAAAAAACAAAACTTTTCTCTTAGCCAAAGTACAAGTGATATATACTTCCTATACAAAGTTCATCATTATTTGATTATTTTTCTTTTAATCTTAATCAGTTATATATTAAGCTCGTTTTGATTAGATGTGATTTTGTCAGAATGAAATAACACGTATTTAATTGCACTTTTGCTTAATCTGAAGACATCGGTTCTCATTCAGCAAGATTCTATAATTTCTGTTCATGTTTATAACACATTTATTGTTTGTTTTTACTTCCCATTCAAAATTAAACTAGATTCTATAGATCCTAACCTATACTATGGTCTTTCGGCTTTCTTACCAGTTTTGTACTTTTGCATCACCACCATCAATTATTCTAGCGTAAAACCTCATTAAAGTGATTTTATTTCCTTTGAGAAACCAGAAAAAAAAATCTGTCTTTTTTGTTTTTCTTTTTAATTTGATACAAAATTAAGACACTTCCTCAGCGCTACGAGTTTCAAATTATTTCCCTAATTGTGACGACTACAAACCCAAACAAATGGTTCTAACCATAACTTCTGCCACAGCATAAGGATCGCAATTAGAAGATGGCCGGCGATCTTCGAGATATCCCATGCGTTCCTCTGCCACCTGGCGAGGAATTCTGATACTAGCACCTCTGTTAGCAACTCCTGCAGAAAAGTCGTGGATACTGGATGTTTCGTGTTGTCCTGTTAGACGTCTTGCGTTATCCTTGCCTTCGTTAGGATCATAAGCCATTATATGTCGGGTGTGATTTAAAGCCAGTAGTTCAATGGCCTTTTCAATTTCCCTGGAAATAAAACATCTTCGTTATCAAATTAAGGAAATACTAGACATATACCGTTAAGTTTTTATCAGTAGACTCCTAAACGTACTTTAAAATTCTTCATCATTTGTTCAGGCTGAAAATCTCGAACAATTTAAATGTACTGTTGTGAATTTTTCATTTTTATTTATTGTAGTCTTTGACCGATAACTCTACACTTAACTATGGAAAATAATTACCAAACGATAATCTTCAAACTTAAAATAAATAAACAAATCAACGAAAAAGCTAATATTTCTTTTTCTATTGTTGTTTATGATTAAAACGATGCTAGAGAAAAACAGAAATTCGGTCTCGAAACTTTCCCAAAGAAATTACATGATCATTGAAATTATATTCGTGTTTCCATTATATAAGAGGACAGAAAATGTTGAAACAATGAAGAACTGGGATTACTTCAACTACTGATAAGTTTTAAAATTATTAAACTGTTACTTTTCGGTAATTTTTCTATCAATAGTCAAATATTTGTTCTTGTTTTCGATCTCCATAACCCAGATAATTCAGTTTTATTCCGCCTATTTCCAATCGCCACATTAGATCAATATTTGTGGGATAGAGGGCGCTAAATTATTCGAGTTAGGGATGAATTCTTGCTACTGTTTGTGCATAGCGTGCATATGTGGAGTGCATACTTAAAAAGAAATATATATGTGTATATATATATATATCAATTATATGATTATCTACCAATAAATTAAAGTAGACCCAAATTCCAAACAAAGCCTCGATTTGAAATTTTCTTATCGTTATAATTATTTTTATTACAAATTCCTATTGGTTGAGTTTAAATTGTGCTCATAGGTGGATAATAAGTAAACTTGAGAATTATTATAAATTTTTCAATTTTCAAAGAATATTATATTTTGAAGGTTCTACGCAAAGATTTAAACCATCTAAAGATCAGAAGACCATACCAGTCATCGAGTTATACTGGACGTAGTTTTACAAAAGTGATAGTTTTGGTATCATTATTTCCGTTAAACTCTGACCTTTTTTATATATAAAAACTCACAGCTTATGCCAATGTTCATCTAAGCTTTCAAACAGAATTTCGAGAAATTCAGATACCTTTTAATATATTTTATTTTCGCTACTCAGTTGTTTAAGAACACATATTTACTACATATACCCAGACCACCATCTTTAGTTTTTGGGATCTCACACTTGGGGATCTACAAATCTGTAAATCGCACAAAGTCTTAGGTTTATAATTTAATCTGTAGGTAAAATATTTAACAATAATATAGTTTAATAACCATTTTTGAAAACTTAGTCCTAACAATCACGACTATCACCCCCCTACAAAAACAACTTACGTTAACCCATCTTCTTCTCTCATTGCTTTAGTACTGAAGTTGGTATGTGCACCAGCTCCATTCCAATCTCCAGGAATAGGCTTAGGATCAAAGGACACGATGACGTTGAAATCCTCTGCCACTCTCTGAAGGATAAATCTAGACATCCATAAGTCGTCTCCAATGGTTACTCCTTCACATGGTCCAACCTGATATTCCCACTGTCCAAAAATTACAAAACATGTTAATATTTTTATGTAACACTGCCACTTGTAAGTATCTTGTAGATCTGGTAATTATTTCTGGTTGTAGTCCATTAAAAAGGATATTTTAACACATTATTCAGGATTAATAGAAAACATTGTTTTACATTTCAAGACACGGAAATTTCAAAGCATAAAAATAAACATATAGTTGTTATGGATAAATTAATAAACAAATAGTTATTATGGATAAATTAATAAACAAATAGTTATTATGGTTAAATTAATAAACAAATAGTTATTATGGTTCAATTGATAAACAAATAGTTATTATGGTTAAATTGATAAACAAATAGTTATTATGGTTAAATTGATAAACAAATAGTTATTATGGTTAAATTAATAAACAAATAGTTATTATGGTTAAATTGATAAACAAACAGTTATTGTAGTAAAATTGATAAACAAATAGATATTACGGTTCAATTGATAAACAAATAGATATTACGGTTCAATTGATAAACAAATAGTTATTATGGTTAAATTGATAAACAAATAGATATTACGGTTCAATTGATAAACAAATAGTTATTATGGTTAAATTGATAAACAAATAGATATTGTAGTAAAATTAATAAACAAATAGTTATTATGGTTAAATTGATAAAAAATAGTTATTATGGTTCAATTGATAAACAAATAGTTGTTATGGTTAAATTGATAAACAAATAGTTATTATGGTTCAATTGATAAACAAATAGTTATTATGGTTAAATTGATAAACAAATAGTTATTATGGTTAAAATAGTAGCAATTAATTCGAATGGAACATTACTATTACTGGTTTTTTAAGTAGAAAGTCTAAATGATGTATTTTATACAGCGCTGTATAATATTGAATAATAAATTCGACGAAATGTTATAGCACTATTCACATACCTAAATTAATGGAGGTTACTACATGGTAAAGTAAAACGAACTCAAAACACCATAGTTATTATATACACTTCACCATTATAAGAGGCCTAATGTTTTTTCTTTGGTTTGCTGACCCACGCTGTGCTGATGAACCTTGAATAGGCGAAACTGCAGTCCACAGCAGAGGGTATGGACAATCAAAGGACGCATTAGGCTTCTACAACCAATCAAAGAATGCATTAGACATCTACGCCATAGATTCTCTTTTCAATTTTCACCTCTGGTGAAAAATAAAAGAAATCTTTAACACATATAAAGTGCTACTCGAGTGCTATCTGCGCTAACCGTCACTAATTTATCAGTGAAAAACTAGGGAAAGGAAGAGATAGCTACCCAACACCCACGACCGAATCTTGAGCCACTCTTTATTAGCGAACAGTGGGATTGACCATCAAATTATAATGCCCTCAAGGTTGAAAGGTTCGAAATAAGTACAGATGTTTATCAAAACGTTTATACCTGGGCTGGCATAACTTCCGCATTGGAACCTGCAATCATGATTCCAGCATAAAGACACGACCTATAGTGAGCTTCAACCACATCTCTTCCGTAGACCTTGTTGGATCCTACACCACAATAGTAGGGACCTGCAAATCAACAAATGTAAAAAATATTATCAGAAATGGGACGCTGATTATTGTGTTATGCCCAGTCTTTTTATTTTGTGAATGGCACTGAAATCAGAATTCTCAAGTTTGCGCTTTAAGAGTAACTAGCCTTAAAAAATGGAGAAGAAAAGTATATAAATTTACGTGATATTTAGTAACTTTGCCCAGCAACGACCTAATTTTCTGTTATATGATAGTATTTTTGTTCTTTTGATAGTTTTTGATTTACTATTTAAGTGAAAATAATTGAAACTCCAGTCCACATAAACACTAACAAATCAGCTTATTTCTTCTTTGACATTTCTACAAGCTCGAACACTTGTACACTATTGTACCTTGTTGTGGGTTACCTTTGCTAACTGTACTACACTGATGTAAATAATAAATTTCTTATGTACAACAATTCCTTATGCATGCTAGCTAACAAAGATCCAAACACGTAAAAACGACTGATTTACTTTTCTGGCTAGAAAAAAACTTTTTATCTTCTTTACTAACATCTCGTTTTTATAAGCTACTCTCGAATGTGCTAGAACAGGGGTCACCAAACTACGGCCCGCGAGGTCAGTTCATCCGGCCGCCGCTGCACTGTGTCACAAATGAGCTAAAATATAATTATTTA